TTCCTAATTTGTGTCCGGATGACCGCACGTGGCCCGATTGATTTTCAAGTTTTTAGGTGGGATTGAAGACTTTTGCGAGACCTTTACGGTGCTTAGGACGAGACAGACTCGCCCCTATGAATATCCAAATTTGTCTCGAATATAGTTGCATATATAGCGAAAATTACCAAAAAAGTCCTAAACCTTTTGCAGCTGTGCCAATTCAGTCCTAAACTTTTTTTTTTGTCAATTCAGTCATAAACCTTTTGCAATTCGGCCAATTCAGTCCTTTTGGCCGGCCAGAGCTGACATGGACGCCGGCCGGCGCTGACGTGGACGCCGGCCGGTGACGTGGCAATATTTTAATATTATTTTCGAATTATTTTTTTCCTTTCTCTTTTTTTTTCTTTTCCTTCTTCCCCCTGGCCAGTTCGGCCAGGGAGAAGCTCGCCGGCGAGGTCCACTGGGGAGGCTCGCCGTCGCCGGGCAAGGCGAGGCGACCTCGCCCAGCCTCGCCACGGCTGTGCGACGGCGAGGGCGGAGCTCGCCATGGCTGGGCGAGCTCTGCCCTCACCGCCGCTGGGAAAGCTCGGCGTCACCCAGCGGCGGCGAGGTCAAAGCTCGCCCAGCCATGGCGAGCTCCGCCCTCGCCGGTCCTCGCCAGTGCCGACGAGGGCGAGCCTCGCCGTCGCACAGCCACGGCGAGGCTTGACCTCGCCGAGATCTGGGCAAGGTCGCCCTCGCCGGCCGCTTGCCATGGCCGGCGAGCTCAACCTTGCCCGGATGCGGCGAGGTCGAGCCTCGCCGTCGCACGGCTCACGGTGAGGCTCGACCTCGCCGGATCCGGGCGAGGTCGAGCTCGCCCGGCCATGGCGAGCGGCCGCGAAGCGACCTCGCCCAGATCTGGCGAGGTCGAGCCTCGCCGTGGGCGTGTGACGGCGAGGCTCGACCTCGCCATGGCCGAGCGAGCTCGACCTCGCCCAGATCTGGTGAGGTCGAGCCTCGCCGTGGTTGTGCGACGGCGAGGCTCGCCCTCGTCTCGGCACCAGCGAGACCGGCGAGGGGCGAGCTCGCCCGGCCCATGGCGAGCTCCGCCTCGCTCGTTCCACGCCCATGGCGAGGTCGGGCGAGGTCGCCTCGCCTTGCCGGCTGACGGCGAGCCTCCCCAGCGGACCTCGCCGGCGAGCTTCCCCCTGGCCAGGGGGAAGAAGAAAAAGAAAAAAAAAAAAGAAAAAGGAAAAAAAATTCGAAAAAAAATATTAAAATATTGCCACGTCACCGGCCGGCGTCCACGTCAGCTCCAGCCGACCAAAGGACTGAATTGGCCGAATTGCAAAAGGTTTAGGACTGAATTGACAAAAAAAAAAGGTTTAGGACTAAATTGGCATAACTGCAAAAGGTTCAGGACTTTTTTGGTAATTTTCCCTGCATATATACCAGAGTAATCTTTAGACACTTGAGTTGATAAATCTCTAGGACCTTCGGGTAATCGATGAAATTGAAGAATTAAGCACTGACTATCGAAATACCGAAATTTCGATCTGTGACAACCTTAAGTGTTGGAAGTAGGGGAAAAAACTCAATTGATGATAGAATAGCATTAGTTTCTTACCAAAAAAGAGATGTGATCAGCACAAGAATTATTTTGTTTTTCTAGAAACATGAAATTCGTTGACCCTAATTGAATTTTTCTTTTTTTTGGTCAGAAGCTTGGAGGCCCAACCCATGAGTTATGGAGGTGAATGCTGAGGTCCATCCTCGTGCAAAACTGAGGATTTTGATGGGCCGTCCACGACCATCTGCTCTTCTTCCTATTCCATGAAGTTTACACTCTTTCTGACCATGTGTTTGTAGCAAATAGCATTGTTCTTATTTGCTCCAAATCCATCGACAATTCCTCCGTGACATGTAGGCCGGTCGGAATTAAACGGTGTTCCAGATCGGAATGGGTTAATAGTTTGACGGTGCGACTGGCCGGTAGGCATTTGCTCCTCGTATGGATAAGTCTAGACAATAGTTTGAAGTCGTTAGTCCTAAATGCGCTTGGTCCTAGATGAGCGGTTTGTTTTTCGAGCTCCAGAGCGCTCGATTGATTCTCTCAAAAATAGTTCATCGGAGTTGCATAATCACGCGAGGGTCAATGCGGATCTCATTGCTCATTTAGTTAGTTTGATCTACTAGAACAAGCTTAGACGGTATTTGTCACAACAAGCCTTCGGTATGTTTGAGGTATTATGATACCTGCTCAATGATTTTCACAGGAAATCTTCCCTCCAACCCCTCTTGCACGTAATCTCGAGATCTCGACATGGCAGAAAACAGGTGATGGCGTGAATCCAGGAAAACACTAAACACGCCAAACGCGAGTCGAAACTTGCAGACGCACAAACCTGTCCACTCGCTAGAAATTCTTTCAGTTCCTTCATTCGTCAAAAGAAGTAAGCTTTTTACCAAAGATAATAAGACGATTTTATATAGTCTATAATAAAGTTAATAAAATCCCTATCTATTCTACGTAGTTTAAAGCGGACCTGAGAGAATGTCCGCTCCTGTGTTCGCCAAGCGGCACTTCTCTATAACTATGTATTTGACATGCGGTACGGCACTTGGCATTGTTTTGCCATGCGTCCTGATAATCTTACCAAAAATTGATCAGTCGTTCCACATTCCCATGTGTTATTTTTTCGATAGCGGGTCAAGTTAAGGTCCAAACATTTATCAAATGTCGGCATTTACCGTTTAAAACTTGCATAAAATTATTGATTTTATCTAGAATTAAACTTGCACAATATAATTGAAAATAACCAAAAGTACGACAAATCAAAGTGAAAATCTTGAGTTTCGAAATTACTTTTTTTTTTTTTGCGGTCGAATTTTTCGAAATTACTTGGCCCCGCATCATACAGAGCTTCCAATTCCTAACCTTCATTTTCCGAACCGACTGTTCAACCAACCACTTGGCGCGACAGCGACACGAAGACCGAACCTGGGGGCCCCACAGCCCACCTGCTGTCGGGTTTGACTTTTTGACTTCCCAGCTGTTCGGGAGTAGAAAGCGAAGTCAAACAAGATCCCAACGTGAGTCTCACCCGAATCAGCTCCACTGGCCTTTTTGCTCATCGGTCCTCCGCCCATCGCGAAACTTGACAATCGATGCCATTTCCATTTTGCAACTTCGCCCCACCCCCAAAAAAAAAAAAGGCAAAAAGGCAAAGCATAACATTGCGTGCATATTCCATATATCGTTTACTTTTAAATCAGGGCAAAAGTCACCAAAAACCCTAAATTATTGTCACCGTGACACATTTAATTTAAAATTTGTATCTGCGTGACAAGTTTACCCTCCATTAAAGTTTTGTCAATGAAAACGGCTAAAAATCTGCTTACATGGACTCCAGAAATGAAACAGTGCCGATATGGAGCTCATGTGGTTTAAATGAAAAAAAAAAGGACGCTATTTTGATCGAAAGATTATCTAACGGGATCTTAACGATAGGGTAAATGTGTCGCATTAGGTATAAGTTTTGATTTTTTATGTCACGATAAAAAGTTTATGATAAAAATGTGTCACAGTGGGTATGATTTATGATTTTTGACATCACAAGAAAAAAATTCAAGGTAAATACATTACAATGGGCATATTTTCGGATTTTTTGCTACTTTTTCCCCTTTATATTATACCTTCCTCATCCTACGATAAGTAATTTATTCCTAAAATGAGTTAAATTAGCCATTCTTTCCATAAGATTAATTTAATCTACCCTAATCTGAACCTGATGCTAGAAATCATGATGAGCGTCGTGTAGGTCACGATCAAAAGGTTCCAAATCAAGGTCACGTGCTGTAGATTAGCCAAACCAAATGCAGTTTTCCCGTTCTTGCAATAGCAAAAGAGACAAGTGAGCCACACCTCAAAGGAATCAATAGCCTAGCTACTTGATTCACGACGAAAAAAAAAGAAAAACGAATCACTTCATCGAAATAAGCTCGTAGCTTGAACATGGGGGCGAACACCTCGGTGATAAGAAAAAAAGCTTAATTCCATAAAAAAAATGATCCTTAATTTTAGGTACGATCTCAATTTTGCCCGAACTTTTTTTATTTTCAAAAAAAGATACACCTCCAACTTTCGCTCTGATACCAAATTCTACCCACTCGTCAAAAGATCGCCACTAGTTTCCGTAAGATTATCAACATAAGATGTTATTGTTTTAAAGGTGGTGATGAAGATATGTGTTCCGATAATGAAGATCTAACTAGCCTTGACGTCGATAAGTTTGAAAAAATTCAACGGCAATTTTTGGACGCGTGGGCAGATTTAAGATAAGTGTGAAAGTTGGAGATTTTCTTTTCAGACCAAAAAAACATTCGGAGCAAAATTGAAATTGAACCTAAAGTTAGAATTCTTTTAAGGAATTAGGAAGTAGAAGATACAGTGTAAGCAAAGTCAAGGTACCTGTGACCTATTTGTACTTGACTAACAGTTATAAATATATAATACCCCATTTTTTTTTAACTTTATTTGTACTCTATTCGACATTTCTTGAGTTTGACTTGAGTGTGCAAGTACCCATATAAACATAGAACACGCCATTTTTTAACCTTTTAGCATATTTTCTGCCTTCGAATTCAGGCTCAATTCGAACAAACGATGTCACATACTTCAGTTGAAATGAATCTAATTCGATCGGTTTTACAGCCCTCTTTAAAGATTCGATCGAATGAAGTTCGAACTCGAGAATTCAGCACCGAGTTGAACATCGAGTCTCGTCATATCCCAAGTCGAGCTCGAGTTAGAAATATACCTCGATTTCGCCAATAGTAAATTTTTTTTTTTTTTTGGGAATGGTAACCACTCCGATGTACCACCCCCCAACGTGGGCGAACCTCTTCTCCTCCACCAACCCCCCACGCCGGCCTTCGTTGAAGAGTTAGGTTGACCACACAAATCGACGTCACCAAACACGCGAGAGAGACTGAAGAGAGAAAGAGAGAGAGAAAGAGAAAAGAGTCTGTCGACGCGATCGGTGCAAACCCGAAAGGAGGAGAGAAAGATGGCGATCGCCGCCTGCTTCAACCCCTACCCCTCCCCCCGCCTCCCCCGCCTCCGCTCCTCCCCCCCGCCGCCGCCCCTCCTCCGCCTCCCCGCCGCCAAGGCCGCTCCCGTCCTCTCCTCCTCTCGCGCCCTCCACGGCGGCCGCCGCCGCCGCCGCCACCTCCTCCTCTCCTCGATCGCCTTCTCCCTCCCCGGCGGCGGCGACTCCATCAATGGCGGCGGGAGCTCCGGCGGAGGCGGCGACGGCGGCGGGGGCGACGGCGGCGGCGGCAGCGCCGGGGACAGGAACAGGAAGGAGGCGCTCATGGTCCTGGCGGAGGCCGGGCGGCAGCTGGAGAGCTTGCCGAAGGACCTGGCGGCTGCGGTCGAGGCCGGGAGGATCCCGGGTTCGGTCGTGTCGAGGTTCTTCGAGCTCGAGAGGTCGCCGTTCTTCCGTTGGTTGATGCAGTTTGGAGGTTTCAAGGAGAGGCTTCTCGCCGACGATCTCTTCCTCGCGAAGGTCGCCATGGAGTGCGGAGTGGGGATCTTCACCAAGGTATGTCTTTGATCTCTCGGTTCCTCCTTTGAATGATTGCTGCATTTTGTTTTGATCGTGGCTCCTTTCTGCTGATCTGGTAGCTTTATGCAAAACTGATTGCGGTTAGTTTTTCTGCTGATTTGGTTGTTGCCGGCGATTATTTTGTATTGTTGACGTTTCATTCGTGGATCTGCATTATGTTACTGCCTTTTCTGTCAAATGTATGCCAAGAAATGTTCAGGGCAGTCCTGCTGAGAGCTGGATAATGCGTGTAGAAGAGAATTGTTGATTTTGAAGTCAACATGTGGTCTAAAATTAGGTATACGGAAACTTAGAGCGATTTGGGGAAGTTTGGGTACAGATTTCGCTGTGATTATCAGTGGGAGAAGTGAATTGTTCTAAATTACTCAGGTGGCATGACATTTCCATCACAGAGCTCTGCTAAGCAGTAATATTTGGTTCTCCCTAGGATATTTTGCTCGTGATGATGGCGATATATTGTGACCACAACTTTGGGAGGTTAGACTCTAGAGATATGAACTTTAGTTGTAACTATGATACTTTGCGTTATCAACAGGCATGGAGTGAACAATCAGGACTCCAACTTGGATCAAATTGATCTTTGCTGTTATGATCTTCATGTCGGGTAAGGTATTTGACAAAAATTGTTGTCTGATATGTTGGATAATATTCCATCGCAGATGTTATCTTATTTTTGGAAGGGCCTAGCCTTACCAGTTACTAGTGGATTAATCGTGACAATGTTACAGTGGAATTGGATCGATAGTGGGTAGGAGAAACGTTACTCATATGTAAATTTAAGGTGGTCGATATGGAGGATAATGTGTGATAAAGGAAAGACATAGTGGTCTTTCAATTGATGCTGCCTCATGGACCGGTCACAAGAAATGGAACAATTGGCTTGGCCTAGCAAGAGCTACAAGCTAATGAGTTTGTTGTGGGTGACATCAGAATAAATATGCTAAGAATGCTAAATAACTTGAAGAAGGAGAAACGAATGCATTCTAGATTCTGGTTGGCTATTGCGTTCTTGGTCGTGAAAAGTGTCTTCAGTCCACAGTGGTTGATTTTCTCTATATGGCTACCAATGGGAAAACTGAGAAAGTGTATGGGAAGACTTTAGACACACTTAAGATTCCCATCGTAAGAATGACATTCTAATCAACATTGAAATAGTGAATTGGTTTGAGTCTTTAAAAAATCCTCCATTATCATTTCTTGTGTGACTCGCGTGATTTTGAGGTTATTCCCAAATACTTTCATTTTCTTTCTTGCTATTTATTGGGATTAGTAAACTTGGAAACTCTTATAGCCCAACGCAGTGCCAAAATTCAACACCCACTTTAGGTGTTTTGACCCCAAGTGTCTGGCAGTAGGTTATGTGGTAAAAAAAACTTGGAAACTAAGTTAGTCTTTTTCAAGCTGTATTAGTTAGCACATTACGTTATTGGACTTGTTGAGTGGGATCTATGTATCTGGCCATGTTTCTTAGAACATGCCTGTGGTAGTGTAGTTCCCAATTATTTTTCTAGAACCAATTCGTCGAGATCATGAGAAGGTACAGAATGTTAGTATTGTAAGTTTCATTTGTTGAAATTCAGAAGTTTTGCTAGCCTTAATGTGTTCGCTCTTGTATTGTGTTTTAGTTTGTTACCTCATGAGGTAATACTGTACAGTCTAATCACAGTCCTCACAATGCTGGATCAGCATCACAGCTGACTGATGACTCAGATCCTGCAGAAACTGTGACGTGTAAATGTCAATCAGTAGTTCTCATCATGTCTGCAAGCAAATTGTTTTGCATTCCTTAATAATAGTTGGTTTTAGTGTGTCGACATATTCCTATCGATTTTCGTGGCTTCTCTTTTGCTTGACTTTCTATAGTTTTTTATTTGTTGTGCTATATCCTCTTCATTATGTTTTTCAAATCTGATGTTCCATAAATTTAGTCACTTACTGGATCAAACAATGACTTTTTAAATTGTTTATTTTGTAGACTGCTGCTGAGTATGAACGACGCAGAGAGAACTTTTTCAACGAGCTGGAAATTGTTTTTGCAGATGTGGTATTTGTGGCTTTCTTCTTTGAAATTAAGGACTATCACCTGAATAATAGATTACTTTTGCGGTCTCTGCAATCTGATATTCTGTTCGCAAGAATGATCTAGTCTGGTCAAGACGATATTGTAGCATTCAGCATTTTTTGGTACTCGTTATCTGCTGACATCTTGCTGAAAATACGCAATCAGGTTTAACTAACATGGAGGTAATTAGAATCCAGCTTTGCAGATTAACAAAGGAGTATACAAAAATTCTTCACAAAAGGTTGCTTGCATAAGTAGTTGGATCATGGTTGGCATTTCTGTTGAATTAACAGATTCATCTGCATGGTATCAGTTGCTTATGAAGTTTTGATCAAGTGAATCAGATGCTGTATATCTATATCACAATAATTGGAGAGCCTTTGGCCAACATCGAAGCTGGTATTTTATGGACCTCCTGGCAGATCCTTTTTTTTTCCAAGCTTATTAACGGGGTATCTCCAAATAAGTGGCAGGCACCACCAGAGTTTGTCTAGACTCTAGAAGTAATATCTATGGTTTCGGATTTACATTAAGTACACGTGAAAAGGGTGGTGTAATACCTCTTGATGGTCAGACAAGCTGAGTAATTAGATTGGCATTTAGGTGCTAAGCTCACAAGCAGTTATTGTATCAACTATTTTAAGGAAGGTTTTGTGTTCATCTGTTTGTTTTGTTTTCCTCTTAGGTGATGGCTATTATTGCAGACTTCATGCTTGTTTATCTCCCAGCTCCAACTGTGTCTCTGAGACCGGCACTTGCAATCGGTGCGGGGCCCATTACTAAATTCTTCCATAATTGCCCTGACAACGCGTTTCAGGTTTCTTTTCAGCCTCAGGCATTCTGTTTTTAGTATATTCTCAAAGCATTTTTAACAGCATGATTGTCATACTGGTACTTAATTTTCCATCTGTGTGCAGGTTGCTCTCTCTGGAACATCATATTCAATGCTGCAGAGATTAGGTGCTATAGTGGTGAGTTATCAGTTATCATTGGTTTTATGATATTTGAGCAATCAAAGAAGTATAGCTTTATACTATCTGGTTGTGTCTTGTAGCGTAATGGCGCAAAGCTTTTTGCTGTTGGCACTGCTTCTTCGCTGGTGAGTTTTCTTTTTCTTTTTTATTGTCATTTTTACCACATATATTTGTGGAGCCCTAGTTGCATATAGCTAGCTATATGTAATCTTCATTGTATAGTACTCTTTCAAAAAGTCCCTATATGCACGAGGAGATTTAGGTTGTATGAATTGCTAATCTTATGTGCAAGGTTATTTTATCCATTGATTGTTAATTCTTCTTTGTCAATACACAAACCCCCTCCTGAAGTCCTTCATTTGTTCCTAGCAGAATACAAATGATGCATTTGATTCTGAGAGAGCGAGGAGTTTTCTGTGACAGTTACAGATAAATTATACGCAGACATGAGTGGGATTGTGAGTTTAGCATGATCAACTGATGTCTCACTGACTCTTTTCTAAGACCATCCCAATTTTTTGATTCTGCTTAAATCAAATTGTCAATGTCAAGGAATTTCTGCGTCTTTTCCCTAGTTGAAAGGACCAATACGTACTGCCTGTGTTATATCCTGATATTGATCTATGTTGCTGAATATTTTGTCATGTCTCTAATGGGCAATTCTGTAGTCACTGTCTTACTTGAAGGGCTTGATCACTTGATTATTGATTTAAAAATAGGGCATACCTAAAATGTCTGGTATCAATTTTTCTCTCTAGGTTGGCACAGCGGTGACAAATGCGCTAATTAACGCCAGGAAGGCTGTTGATAAGTCTGCAGCAGATGAAATAGAAAATGTGCCTATACTGTCGACGAGTGCTGCGTATGGTGTATACATGGCTGTTTCTAGTAACCTCAGGTATGGTCCTGCATTTAGTATAAAATGCATTGGCAAGTGTGGCTCTCTGTCGTGTTCTTGGTTCTTAGATGAAGAAATGTAGCCATAGGTTATTTGAGGTTGAGTTATCCTTCCTGTATTTGAGGTTGAGTTATCCTTCCTGCAATATGGCTGTAAATGCTTTTCATAGTTCGACTGCACCTTGTCTTTGAATAGTAGCTGGATGCTGTCAATAAGTTGTGCTTGCACAGTTTTGTTCTTGGACAAGAATGACTAGTTCTCGCTGACTCTTTTATTCTCAGTGCATTGCAACTGACACAAGTCGGGCCTCAGTAGCGTGACTTCAACCCACTTTAAAAATGCTATTTTGCATGATATTCGCGGTTCATAGTATGCATACACGAATAAAATGCAGAAATTTCTAACAGTGTGTGCGCAGTGCTTGCACTTTTGACAAATAGTGAGAGGTCCATTATTAATGATAGTGCTTTTTATCTTTAATGTCTTGAAGAATGAATCTCAGATTTTTTGCATTTAATTTTCCTGAGGGCCAAAAGCACCTTTCTCTGGACTTTCTTGTGATTTGTATCTTTTGGGGAGCGTATGGTGGCTCTCAGTCATAGAGTTTGTGCATTTCGGGTGTATTTTGTTGATTTACCCTCGATTCGAATAATTAATTAAAAAAAACATGAGCTTTTAGGTACTCATTCTTCCTTCCATGAACTGTAAAACGAAATATCAGCCCATCCTTTCTTGAGTAAATTGAGATAGTTATTTGTTTGTTCACCATGTATTGTCAACCTGCAGGTACCAAGTGCTGGCTGGTGTTATTGAACAGCGGCTTTTGGAGCCCATGTTGCACCAGCACAAGGTTATGTTGAGTGCACTCTGCTTTGCAGTCCGGACTGGCAACACATTCTTGGGATCATTATTGTGAGAATTTAATGCTGCCATAACTCTTAACTGACTCTACTTTACATGCTCGTCTCTATCGTCCGGTCTAACAATAACATCGTTATGTTTTGACAGGTGGGTAGATTATGCTAGATTTATTGGCATCCAGTAGCCACAAAGTCAAGAAAACGGACAGGATTTCTTTGATTATGTTGTTCCATTGGTCAGAATAGCCGTTTGCCTCTTTGATTGGCACCCGTTTTGATTGTTTCCTCTGAAGCTGGAGGTTGTCGGTTCCTGAGATTCTGGTTTTTCCGGTATATATATGAACTGATTTTTTGGAATCGCAGATTTCCAATCCTGAATTGAACAGAATCCCCTTGAGCACAAAAGGTTGCTGCTCCCTGTCGCTCTGGTTATTTAGCTGTGGCCGGTTGACAATAGACTCACAAGGTACTAAAATTTATGATTTCAGCGTTACTGAAGTTGTAAGTTGTAGTTTACTGAATTGATCCAGAGGAGGGAGTTTTACTTGATACTGATGATTGTACGCGCTCAGTCTATTATGAGCAATGGTCAGTCTCGTCTCGTCGGATTCCTGTTAATCATCAAGTTCATGGTGGTTCGATTCTTCCTTTAGATTCTTTTTAGCTGCCACAATTCCTAGAAGAATTTCCAGGTTGCAATTGCATTATTTCTTCAGGTAAATCTTGGCCATGGATGTACAAGAAACAATTAAAATGGGCGACTATGAATTTCTAGATTGCGATTTTATAGGTTTACTGGGGTGGTCCTGGTTGGACAATTTCCCTGAGTGATTAGATTTCTAGCGTTCCATCGGGTGAACGAATCATTAAGCAGACAGAACTCAATCGAACTCTTTTCGATTTCTTGATTTAATGGGGTGGTCTTGGTTTGTCAAATTTCCCTGAGTCTGGGTGAGGAGATGCAGGCCCTCGCCTGCTGTACCCCCGCCCTTGCCGGCCCCTCCCGGCAATGGTGGGGCGGCGGCGCCGGGGAGGGCAAGCCCTCCCTCCCCACCTGTCCTCCTCCATTTTTTTTCTAGCTTATTTTTTTAATTCAATTTAAGTAAAATTAATATTAAAATAATAATAATAAAAAAGTCACGTCATCGCTACATTGGATAGAAAAAACAATAAAAAAAAAAGTCATATCAGCATTTTTCCTTAGACAAATTGGACGGTGTTAATTTTAAGACTCGATTGAATCAATTTGACAAGTTTTAGGATTTGATTACATTTTTTTTCAAATTTTAGGATTTAATTGCATTTTTATGATAAGTTTTAATACTTCTTATGAACATATCTCTAACTTTTAACCCATCGGAAAAACTTCCCCTTCATTCAGCCTAGGAAAAAGAGAACACCAAAATAGAAAACTCAATATGATTGGGGCTTTCGATTTATCAAATCATTCTGGTGGTTCTCGAACACTTCATTCGCTAGAATTTGTTCGTCAGAACGTTGTACGCTATATCAGTAACTCGTAGCATGGTAAACATAATAATTTGTGGTCTCGAATTGTTTCGATCCTTCAAATCACGCATCTTTTTTTATCCGTGAAGTGTAAAACGGTGCAATTCCCTCGCTTCCATAACCTCCCAAAGAAGCATGTAATGAACTAGCAAGACAATTGGAAAAAGGGTGATTTAAGTCTTCGATTCTATCGAATCACGCGCGCTTAAATTCTCGAACTTTCTCTGATCCCAACAGCTCTCAAACGTTACGAAAGATATGCCACAGGCACGCTTACTACTTCACTATTTTAAACATCTTTGCCGCTGTGAAGGCGCTCCTCTTCACTTCAGGCGACAACTCCTGAGTTAAGAGTACTGTCACAACAGCTTTAGACAATCTATAAGTGCAAACCAGCAGATGTTTCCTTTCACAGGAATCACTTTGTTATTTAACTAACATAGCTGGATTTTGTTGGCATAAACACCTAAACATCATACAGTGGGGGGGGGGAAACAATGCTCCCGGTGGTGGCAGACCATCAGATGACTGAGTCTTTCTCTGATTCCAATTGAGAACTTCCAGGATGCTGCACAAGAAGTCCCTGGTGGAATCATTCAGACAAACAGTAGGGACGGGCCATGGAGCCATGCTACAGATGAGCTTGTTCCTGGCTTTCAACTCTTTCCTGTTCTTGCCGTCGAATGATACCCATGCGGAACTTCGGCGGCTGGGAGTTCGGGGGCTGAGACTTTGGGGGTTGGGACTTTTGGGGGTGCCAGTGTCAGACACTTCCACCCCAATAGCAACGTGCTCGGGTAAAATCAGAGGCCTAAAGGATAAGGAATGAGGACATATTGGCGTCAATGCTATGCCGGGAACCTGCAAATTGACACAGCAAAGTCAATAGTGCGGACTTACCAGATTTAAAAATAAAAAAAAATGTTTTCCTGATTGATGATGCTTGTACTTAATATGTAGATAGCTTGTGATTAATATGCAATTAACTCATGACCATCTAGAATCAAATTTCTTTCCATTTTTCTCGGGGTCTTCGGATTCCGCAGTCTACAGCTCTGAGGCTTGGAAGACAAGTGCCTATAAAATATAAGACAGTTCGACGAATGATATTGAATATACTAAGAGAGGTTTATGATACCTGTGGATGGACCATTGATCCTCCATCTGCTAAGGAATAGGCAGTGCTGCCAGATGTAGTTGACAATATTAGCCCATCCCCTTGTACGAAAGTGACATATTCGCGGTCACAATAACAATTCAAACGTGTGAGGTAGGGTGACTGCCCCCGATCAATTGTGACTTCATTCAAAACGAATATCTGTTTTGCTGTCGCGTTTTCATTTTCAGCCCAATCCCTGACAATTTGACACTGCAACCGATGCCGTAATGTTATCTTGATGGGACCTTGAAGAATCGATTCAAGCTGTTTCTTGTAGCCATCCCTGCCTGAGCTTTGTTGAGGATCACTTTTTCAAGTTTTTTACCAATGAGAGAGTTTTCAAGTAAGTTGATGGCATATGTGCATTCCACATGCTTGCTTCGTCTCATGCCAAAAGGATATCATATAACTTTCGAAAAGCAAAAGGATACGGAAAGGGGCCATAAAGCCCAAGGACCCCATATTAAAGGAGACAACAGGGGGCACCGGTCCTTGGAACAGTGATGCTGCTTGCAAAATGAATAAGCTCTCCAATCGGTAATCGAGATTCAAACGAAGATTCAATGGGAAAATCAGAAGTACAACTGAGTACAATTTCACCATGGAAGCATATGTTCATATAGTCAGACAAACGAAAAATGGAACTAATAGATGATCATTCACGGTCTCAAGTTTCAAGGAGGCGATCACACCTTGAGATCCCCGCGTCAAATAGCAACAACAACATACAATTTGTCAATCATATGGGAAGATGAATGATAAAACACCGAGAATGTCCAAATTGAATGGATGCCATTCGCAGCTTCTCAGGGTTTCCCATTGTTTATTCTAGTCAATTCTCCCCAGGGTTAAACGCTCAGCACCTTTCGAAGCGCCAATTCAAGACCGGCGGTAGATTGCTTTTAAGGAGTATGTAAAGTGAAGGCATACACAACTCTTAGCGCCAATAAAGAGGATACTTAAACTTAGGCCAATAATCTATATAGATTCACGGAGCCGTGTTGCTTAAAGTTGCTTTTTCTTCCCCGGTCATTCAAGTTGCTATGGTAGCTGAATTGCTTTTTAGGATAAGCTTTCCTTTCTTAGGGCAACGGGGAAATACTAACACTCTGTTAGCTTATTCAATGATGAGAGTGGACATAACTTTTGGAGAAGTTCTAAATTAATAATCCAGCTTTTTGGGGCTACACTTAATACGTTGTAGCCAAATAAATACATATATAATCTATATACACACACAAGCTATATTCAAATTGATATAATAAAAAAAAAAGGAGATGAAGAGGAGGCTTTCATATGTTGGGCATGCCACCCCGAAGAATTGATGTAATGGACTTTGCTCCAAAATGCTATATAATACATAAACATTCAAACCACAATGTAATTTTGATACAAGGGATACGATTTTATCGCTGTTGCAATTTGTTGATTGATTTGGAGGGAAAGAAAGAGCTTAGAGTTTTTTGAAAATTGTGAATGATTACCGTTTTACAAAGTAGATGAACAACATTTTCATTTTTGGATTCTATAAAATCGTCAGAAACTTTCTAGTGGTAAATGGATGCCGTTCATCAACAATTGCTTCAATTCTTTTGCATTTCAGAGGCGGAAAAAGGACTCCATGTTTCCCTTTTCGATTTCAGGATAAGAAAGTAAAGACGAAGGGTTATCACACTCAGGCCTGGCTATGATGCTACTCTCAGAAACCTACCATGAAAAAATAGCAGAAAAAAATACTCATCACTGATTCTACGGTAAATGATGAATGCATTACCCAAAGGACAGTTCCATCCCCACCAAGAGTGATCAGAAGGTCAACTTTCTTGTGCAAGTATGGAATCTCACGGTCTGAAACAAAATCAAAGAGAACAAGTCGGCAACAATGGCAGCATGATAAGATCGTAATTGACATGAGAAACCAATTTGAAAAGCCTACGAAGTTAAAGACTTCTAATATTTTCTTTAGCATCAACTATAGTCATTAGAATAATTGTCTCAAATGATGTAACACTAATCCCACTACGTGTGCGAAGCAGCTGATTTTGAGAGATCAAATTTGAAGCATTCAAGTGGAACTTTGTTGGTTACGAAAAAGAGAACAACTTTGTCATATCCAATAATTTAGGCACGGCGCGCGACCAACATTCTAGCTGAAAAGTTTTCCACCAGAGAAAAGAGAATTGGCAGATAGTTATCCCCTCAAAAACGTAAAAGAGAAAGACCACTTTATAAGCGATCATGAGTTAATTGCATCAACTAGTAGTAATATGTTCCCACACTCACCATCTTGACAAGTTTTCACAAACTCGAAGGAAGACGTTTTACCGAGAAGCTCCTTTTGCACCCTTGGCTCCACGTAAATTTTCTTCTTGCGCATGTGTAACCAACTAGCAATACAAAATGAAGGAATTACTATTTAACAATCAAAAGAATGCGCATGAGTCCGTGATTTCTCTATCATTACTGGTATTTAAAGATGTGGGAGTTTACCCAAATGCTAAAATCATCCGAACGTTGCACTGGTTTTGCCAGGAAAATTTGAAGTCGTTAATTTATTTAGTGATGCACCAAAAGCCAATATCACTTTTGTAACTTTGACCTGTTGCGATTAACCCTAAAGATACCTAAATTCGCAAGGAAAAAAAGTATCCAAGTACCATCAAGCTGGACAAAACTATAAGCCCCATGTGGACATCAAGACACCAAAATCAAAACATTATCTGACTATAGGCCACGGAAGCCACCGAGTCAGCCATAATCAATTGCAATCGTTGAAGTAAAAAAAAAAGAAGACGTCCCTAAATATAAGCACTAAGCAACAACAGCCTCATCTAAACACAAGTCCAGCAATAATTCGAGATATGAGTCGATAGAAAAACTGGTTCTTGATTACAAATTGTATTACGGTGTGACTTGATATAAGACATAACAAAGGCAACTCCGGAACATCATTGGTCAGAACATCCTGTTATTATAAGTGAATT